TCGGCTGCTGACCCGCAGTTTGTGGGGTTGAATCCCGGCTGCGGCGGCTGCAATTTCGATGGAGGCGAAAATGCTGTGGACCTGTGTGCTCAGATTTGGGTGCACGTTAAAGAACCCCAGGCGGTCGAAATGTCCGGAGCCCTCCAATACGGCATCTTTCATAATAACACGGTGGTTCTGGGACGTTAAACTCCACACATCAGTCGAGCAAAAGCTTCTATTTTTGGGCTTCGCTTAGCGAAAAGCTACTTCAATTTTATACAGAATCACAGCTAACTTGCTGGCGCTTTTCGTACCGTCGCACTAGTTTCCTATGTCAATCTGCATAAAGCACCATAACCTGGTACTTGAACCTGTTGTGAACGGTGGTCTTGAATTTCGCTCTCTTCAAATCGTACCCCGAATCACTGTTTCATGTGAAAAAAGACGAAATAATCGCATCGTGCTGGCTCAGGACAATATGGCGAGTAATTGGTGTTTCCTACCAAAATATTTGATTTTCCTATTGGTTCTGATTATGGTGCAAGGATGCACGTTGTCATGTAGGAGACCGGTTCCGGATAAGAATTTGTGACATCATCAATCTTTATTGTACTTAATACTGTGGTGGAGTGTTCTACAGTATATATCAGCTTTGTGTGCCACCCGCATTTTAAGAAATAAAGACTAAAATTGCCCTTTTTGACTTAGAAAATGGTAGCCACCTTTTTCCGACTGCAGTAAGGTAATTAGTTGATTTTTTAAGGGGGGGGGGAAATGTTTGTGAAAAGGAGTGGTGGCACCACTGTGGTGGTTCGGCAATCGCGTACAATTTCAAGCGTCATCGCCTGTGCAGCAGTGTGCGAAAACAAGTCGTCCTCTTTTTATTAGTAGCAGTCCAAAAACGTACATTCACTGGATGTCCTTTATTGTTTCAGTTGGTCGGTAAGCATTTTTAGAAACTTGCTTTGTGATACCTGGGCATATCAGCTACAATTGTGCAAATCGTAGTGAGGCAAACAAGGGGAACTTTGACTTACAGACCACTAACTGTTATTCCAGTAGAACTCGCTGTTGGGCTAGTTGGTGCATGTCTTGATTAAATAGTCAACGTCGTGCCGAAAGAACAACCACACACAGAAAGAAACAAATATAGACACCACGAGCGCTCACTTACAACTGTTTATTCCTTAAGGAAAGAGGCTAACACAAAGTCACTCTTTGTCAACCCAGGCTCAACATGATCAGCCCTTCTCTTACTTAATCACGCTATCGGACACATGATCTCTCTCTAGATAACGTGTTTCTGACTCAGAGAGCTTTAGCAACGTTTCACTTAAACACTTATTACCCCGTTTATTTATGTGATATGCCTCCAAAGTTTCCCGTGTTAAATTGTTTGTACTTCTTCCAATGATCTTAATCTGCGTGAAGTCTGGTGTGGATACACAAGCTATAAAATGAGCTTTCAGAGGCGCACCGTTCTTATCCTATACCATGAGAGCGTGTTTCCTCGCTCGATCAGTGACGCAGTGCCACGTGTGGCCAACATAGCTATTTTGGAGGCATATCACATAAATAAACGAGGTAATAAGTGTGTTAGCGAAACGTCACTAAACCTGTATGAGTCAAAAACACGTTATCTAGAGAGCATGCGTCCAATAGCGTGATGAAGTAAGAGAAGGCCCGATCATATTGCCCATGTGTCGACGAAGAGTGGGTTTATATTAGCCTGTTTCCTCAAGGAATGAAACCTTTGTAAGTCAGCGCCCGTGGTGTCTATATTTGTTTCTTTCTGTGTGTGGTTAATCTTACGACCCGACGTTGAATATTTAAGCAAGACTAACTGTTTGTCCTCAATCTATTGCAATATCCTGTCCACTTGAACAATTCGGTTTGTCTGGAAGCTTGGGTGGTGTTCCACTCTTTGTGGCACACATTTGTTCAGCCATTTCGGAATTCTCAACACCATGTTCTGACACTTGTTTCACTCCTCATAGTTGATCCATGAACTAGGCACAACTCACCGTAAATTGGAAAAGCTAGTGATTCTTTTGCTTGCAAAAATGTAAATATATTGTGCACCTCACAACAGACGGGAGCAACAATATTCTCCAACATTGTTGTCTGCGTTCCCCGGCAAGCAGATGGCTATTGAGCCAGAACAATCACTTCAGTACTTTCGCTGAGAAGTAGCCGATTGAGCTGTGCACATAACTCTTCAGTCTGATGTTCAAATACTGAAAGGTTAGGAATTGGCCCTTACTAGCAGATGGCTATTACGGCTTTTGCATGTATTGTTGAACTCTATGAGAGACAGTGTTCTTTGTTTACATGTATACTGCTGCATTCACGATTGTCAATAAACAATGTTATCTTACTTGCTTGGCATGTTTTTTGCCAATTGAGGCTTCTCGGTCACCTGGCGGCATAGCGGAAATATTTATAGTAACGTTAGGGTGCCGTGCGCGCGAATACCGTCGCGCAACAGCAGCGAATAAATGCCCAAACCTACGGGCGCGCACCGCCACCAGCCGCCGTGGCCGCCAACGCAGCCGCCTTACTGCCCCAACGCAATGAAGATGATAGTCCTAGAAGAGCAATCTCCAGGTCGGATAAGATAGTTCAGAACGTCACCACTACCCCTATTTTTGTAGCACTGTCAAAGGTACAATTTTACATGTTTCAATGGTACTACATAGGTGTTCTGTGGTGTAGAACGCAAGGAGACGGGTAGGTGCCATCATCGTGTCGTCTTGGCAAAGCGTTGAAAACAATTCCCTTTTCGTGCCAGCTGTGCATGGTCAGCGCAACGTGATGAACGCTACGGTACTTAAAAGTACTTATGAATGCCTTTTCTAGGAAGAGAGACACATACAGAATATTGACGTGTTGATTTGATGCCTTATATATGTGCACAAATTGGTTTTTAATTGACAATCACACAACCATGAACACTGAATCTTGAGCAAGATTGGTGGGCGGATGGGGTCAGCCATTTGGAGTATCGTTTGCCCACTTTGATGCCATTTATGGTATCGTTAAGGTCAGACAGACAGACAGACAGACAGACAGACAGACAGACAGACAGACAGACAGACAGACAGACAAAAATTCTTTCGCGTCGAAGGTTCCCAAGAAAGACTATCGTCTTTAATAAACTTCAGCGCATGAACAATAACCACAATTGACGTTACCCGACGTGACGGCTGTATCAAAGGAGTAATAATGTAATGTTTATTTAATTAAGTAGGCAGCACTGCAACCAATGTCGACATTTCACGAAGATTAGCGTCTATTTGAAAAGTAGTTCCGAGACCTGGCGTAGCCATCTGGTAAAATGCTTCATTGCCCCGCAGAATGCATGGGTTCTATTCCAGCTGGGACCCTGACATTTATTCTTTGAATTCGTCGGATCGACGCTACCGATGTCGAGTATTTCTTAACGCTCGCGCGTTCAAATTGCCCATGCGTTTTCATCGTTCCTGGGTAGATACTAAGTGTCAATCAGCTGTGGCACATACCCGTATACCAGCGGCTCATACCCGCCCGTGGGTATGTCTCACTGTCTGGAAGGAAGTGTTTGACAACGTACGTGACGGGATTGTGACATTATTCATCTCTTTACCAGCAGATCATATTCGTCAAATCATCTTACCCTTCCACGTTAATTTTGGTTCACGCAAAGCTGAAGAGGTGACCACGAGAGCACCCAAACATGATTGGTTAGATAGTTAGACAGATTTATAGATAGATAGATAGATAGATAGATAGATAGATAGATAGATAGATAGATAGATAGATAGATAGATAAATAGATAGATAGATAGATAGATAAATAGATACGCTCAATGTTGCCGAAGTTCGCTAAGAATAACATCGAATTGAGAATGACTCCAGGCTTTAGATTGGATGAAATGCGCTCTTTCACTTGATATGATATGTTATTGTGTGTTTAATGCCAGCAATTTCCTGGGTCGTTTTTGTTGGCGTTATTATTGTTGTTTCAACAATCCACATTAGATCTTGTATTGTATCGGAGTGAGCAGGTAGGCTGCCTAAGCTTTTGAGTATAATTCTCGGGAACATTTGGGGTAGAGCGAGGCAAAGACAGTGCTTGAATACCCCAAAGAGACGCGTCACTACTGGGGTGGGCACATCACGCAGTATTTTAGCTTTTGTAGTGGCATGTGGTGGTGGCTTCCTCAATTACATCATTGTCTCCGATTTCTGGCTATGTACTTGGTGCAATATAAAAGAACAAAAAAGTCATCTATGTGTCTGAAAATAGGAGAACTTGATCACCATTTCAAGTTGTGTGCATATGGTTGTCAAATGGCACTAATTGTATACTGGCGTGCTTCCGGTTCCCGTCTTTGTATTCTTGTATCATATTTTTGTTTTCTTTTGTTTGGTGATACACGGATTTTCTTCTCCGCGCAAGAAAATCACTTCAAGAAATAAATGTTACAGTTTCCTTACCCTCCGTCCTTTACCAGTGTGCACATGATTGCCGTAAGAGCAACAACTAAGGCGTGAGCCATTAAATGAAAGGTTCATACGAAATGTAAAAACCAATATTACATGACGCTTTCTTATTTTTAATAACTATAAATTTACTGCATAAACGTATGTGTCAGCCCGATGAATTGAGTAGTGAAGGCTTAAGGAAACAATGTTAAAAAAAGTAGTGCGAAACCACAGCAAAACTAAAGAGAAAAATAAACGCCCATCATTATACAACAGTTTTTGCACACACTTGTTCTTTTCTCCAAGTTGGGGAAGCCTTGTAGCTAGGTTTGTTATTAAGCGAAATTGAGTAATTTTACTGGCACTTTAGAACATTGCAGTTACTATGGGCAGTTTCTTAGCTATGAATTTTTTGTGACAGAAGTCTGGCCCGTACAATGTTTTACCAACTGACTAGTTTGTCTGCAGATATTAGGCGAAAACTTGTAGCCTTCGTTCTTTTTTCTTTAGAAAACTTTGGTCGGCCAAGTGTAAATGAATTCTAGACGAGAAACTGGTACAGAAAGTCAGTTTTATTGCTGAAAGGTACAAGCAAGTGACAGTTGAAATTAAAAACGACCGTACGAGAAAGGTGATCGGGGATAATTTTTCAGGTACCTGAACGCAATAGTAAACTTCAGCACAGGCGTAGTATGTCTTCGGCGAGTTAATTTATCGGACAACCTAAGCCACAAGGGCTTGGTATTTTTGAATGAAATGGGTGAAAATTTCAGCTCAGGTAACAAAAATTATGTAGTGCATTCTAACAAAAACTATTTGTGCCTTGGCTGCTTTGGCCATTAAATAAGGTTTCAGTCGGTTGCGGAGCTCGCAAAAAAGTTTTTACGGCCCGTGCGGTAGGGCGACATATGTGTCACATCTTCGCCGCATCGGTCCTAGTAAGGAGAAATATACATTATCTTGTAAAAGCAACAGCTGCTCATGTCTGATGGAACATAACATCCGAAGTAATTGCCATCGTGTACCTAACTTTTCGCGACTAACAAGAAGGAAAAGGACACTAACTTAGCGCTAGAATAATAAAAAAAGTCACTGCTATTTCGTGTGACCGCAGTGCTCTGCTCAAGTGAGTATAAATATCCGTAAAGTTACAAATGCATGCCTATGAGGTACAGTACTGCTGGGAAATATTCCCACCGAGTTGGGCAGGCAAGAAGTCAAGCCTTATGTGACAGACTGTTTCGCATGCGGTGCCATTTCACGGCTTGTTGCAAATGGCCGTAGCCCGATCGCACCACCATCGCATCGATGGTCCGACGAACTTGAAGAGCGAGCTTCGCCGTGCAGATGTAATGCACCTCCGGCATGGGAAAACCGTTGAACCCACAAGCCAGTACTAGCGTGTAGGCGCCCATGTTGTCCATTAGTAGCCACTCATCCACAAAGACTTCGAAGAACGGCACCTTGCGTAGAATGCAGTCCATAGGATTGCAGGTAGCACCCCAAAGAGTGGTGAGAACCTCTGAAGGCCTCTCATACGGAGGCTGCAAAGAATGAATTAAAAGAGGATGTTTATGACCCCAGCACGGAACAGACAGATACGCAAAGAATGAGTCAAAATCATTTAGGCTGCCACAAACAACAACAACAACAACAACAACAATAATAATAATAATAATAATAATAATAATAATAATAATAATAATAATAATAATAATAATAATAATAATAATAATAATAATAATAATATAATAATAATAATAATAATAATAATAATAATAATAATAATAATAATAATAATAATAATAATAATAATAATAATAATAATAATAATAATAATAATAATAATAATAATAATAATAATAATAATATTAACAATAATAATAATAATATAATAATATTAATAATACTAATAATAATAAAATGCTTATTTATTGCACTTCATATGACATCGTTATCATTCTCAAATATACAGTCAATTTTCTAGAAAGTGGGCCTATATTGTCCCCCTAACAACATAAGACACTTGTAGAGAGCTTTCTACTGTCACTCTACTACTCGAACTAACACATCATCTCTCACTTAGTATCGATCAGCAGAAACAAACAGACCCCCTCCTGCTGGAAAAGCTTCGATAGGGTCTCTCACAAAACAAAACTCATTTATAAATTCCAAATTACACTAGCTACTCGCCTTATCGTTTAGTGAATTCACGACTACCTATTTCACTGCACACAGTTTGTTGAAGTGCATAGCCAGATCTCTCGAGCAGCCCAGCTTACGTTAGGAGTAGCACAGGAAAGAGTTTTGGCTCCGATATTATTATTAATTTTCATAAATGACCTGCCATCTAATACTAGTGAAAATATCAGACTATTTGCCAACGACATCCTCCTGTATCCAAATAATATTTCTCATGATGACTCGTAGCATTAAATATTGAATAAAAACAGTGGCTTACTGATGTGCTGTTTGTCATATGTAAATAAATGCTAAAAAAGTAGCTGTCCTATCAATAGCCAGAAAAAAGTCTCACATTTTTGTAGCGTTTATTAAAGACAAGACCTCGGAAAATGAACGGACAGGCCCCTGATGTAGACGATGATTATGACACACAGACGATGAGGAGAAAGAGACAAGTGGATGATGGTGATTATGATGATGCAGGGATGAGGATGGAGTTAATTACCAATGCTTACGATGTATATATATACATATACATATATATATATATATATATATATATATATATATATATATATATATATATATATATATATATATATATATATATATATATATATATATATATATATATATATATATATATATATATATATATTGTCACGATGAGTCACAAGTACTGGGGGATATATGAACGACTGGGTAGCTAGCTCTAGGACGATGCGTCAGTCGTGGCTGGCTCTCGAGCCGAGAAGAGACACGAAAATCTTCTTTCTTTCCTCCAGATGGTAGAGCCGCTCTTGCAGTCGACCCACTACGTGTGGGTGGCATTATCCCCCCTTTCGAAAAGAAAAAAAGTCCCAAAAGGGGGAAAGAAAAGTACATAGCACCACCACGATGTTACGGCATAGGCACGTGGAAATAAAGAAATTGGAAATTCGGAAGTAAAAATAGAAACGAGCGTGCCAATATAGGTAAAATCAGTGAACGAAGAAGCAAGTTCACAAAAATAAATAAATAACACAAAGAACAGTGTATGGAAAGAAAAAAGTTATGAACAACGCGCAATAAATGGTTTCATGCGCAACACATGAACGACATCCGACCACGGTCGTGTCCTACTCCGTGCCTGCGATGTTGAGTCCGGAACCACTTCGTAGTTCACGTCACTGACGCGACGTAACACTTTATAAGGGCCAAAGTACCGGCTCAGTAACTTTTCACTAAGGCCACGGTGGCGGACGCCCAAACTTGGTCTCCGGGGTTGTAAAATACTACACTGTGGCGAATGTTATAGCGCCGTGCGTCTGCCTGCTGTTGCTGGCCGATGTGTAGTCGCGCGAGCTGTCGGTCTTCCTCAGCATGCTCTGTGAATTCATCGGCGTCAGTTGCCAACTCGTCTTCGTCTTGACACGGTAGCATAGAGTCCAGCATGGTCTGCACTTCGCGGCCGTAGAGAAGCCGAAATGGCGTGAATCGCGTGGTCTCTTGCACGGCGGTATTATACGCGAAGGTCACGTAAGGTAAGATCCGGTCCCATGTTTTGTGCTGTACGTCGATGTACATTGAGATCATGTCTGCGATAGTCTTATTCAGTCGCTCGGTAAGTCTGTTGGTTTGCGGGTGGTACGCAGTTGTGTTTCGGTGTGTGGTGTTGCTTCAGTTTGAAAACCTCGTCCATAAGCTGCGCCGTGAATGCCGTCCCTCTGTCCGTTATTCTACTGGAAGGAGCACCGTGTCGTAACACGATGTGGCACATGAAAAATTGTGCTACCTCAGAAGCCGTGGCTCGTGGGATCGCCTGCGTCTCAGCGTAGCGTGTCAAATAGTCGGTCGCGACGATCATCCATTTGTTGCTGTACGCAGATAGGGGGAATGGCCCGAGAATGTTCATGCCAACTTGGTCGAATGGCGTGCAGGGTGCTTCAACGGGCTGAAGCAAACCAGCTGGCTTAACAGATGGTTGCTTTCGGCGCTGACATTCCCGACAGCTCTTGACGTACTTCTTGACACTTGCCGAAAGTTCTGGCCAATAGTACCTCTCGCTCACTCTGGCAAGTGTCCGTGAGTAGCCCAGATGACCGGATGTGGTTTCGTCATGGCAAGCGAAGAGGACGTCGTCTCGCATGTCTCGAGGAACCACCAGGAGGTAGGTACGGTTGTTCGGACAAGCGTTCTTCTTGTACAGCACACCATCTCGAAGGTAGAACGATGGCAACGAGCGGGATAAATGACGTGGTATGATTGTGCCCTGGCCCTCTAAATGATCGATGATCGGACGAATCTCTGCGTCATCATGCTGCAGTTTACTCAAGTCTGATGAGCTAATGGCGCCAAGGAAGCATTCGTCTTCTTCTGCTTCCTGACTGACGACATGAAGGGGTGTGCGTGACAGCGTGTCAGCGTCTTCATGCTTACGGCCGGACTTATGGACGATGGTGACGTCAAATTCCTGCAGCCGCAAGCTCCACCGTGCTAGCCGTTCTGAAGGGTCACGCAGGCTTGCCAACCAACAGAGCGCGTGATGGTCCGTCACTATCTTGAAGAGACGACCATAAAGGTATGGGCGAAACTTTGTGATTGCCCACACGACTGCGAGGCACTCTTTCTCCGTAGTGGAATAATTCGCCTCGGCACGGGATAGAGAGCGGCTGGCGTGGGCTATCACCCTTTCGATATTGTCTTGACGCTGAACGAGCACTGCACCAAGCCCAACGTTACTAGCGTCAGTATGGACCTCCGTGTAAGCATCATCGTCGAAATGAGCGAGAACGTGTGCTGATTGCATGCGCCGTCGCAGTTCATCAAAAGCTGCTTGTTGCTCATTTTCCCAGACAAACGGCGTGTCGTCCCTTGTGAGACGAGTCAGAGGTTCTGCTATCTGTGAAAAGCCATGAATGAACCGGCGATAGTAGGCGCACAAACCAAGAAAGCGCCGGACGGCTTTCTTATCGACAGGAGCTGGTAATTCGTCAACAGCGGCAAGCTTGTCTGGGTCGGGCCGGACTCCTTCAGCGCTAACTACATGTCCAAGAAATTTCAGTTCTTCATAGCCGAGGTGGCACTTCTGTGGCTTTAGAATGAGGTCCACCGATCGGATAGCCTCCAGCACGCTGCGCAGGAGCTGTAGGTGCTGCTCGAACGTGGCAGAGAAGACCACCACATCATCAAGGTAGACAAGACAAGTTTGCCACTTGAGCCCTGTGAGGACAGTGTCCATCATTCGCCGGAAAGTCTCCCGCGCTGTACACAAGCCGAAAGGGAGTACTCGAAATTGGTATAGGCCGTCTGGAGTCACGAAGGCTGTCTTTTCGCGGTCTCGCTGATCTACCTCGATTTGTCAGTACCCGCTTTTGAGATCGAGAGAAGTGAAATAATGGGCACGACTAGGTCTATCCAGCGAATCGTCAATACGCAGTAGCGGGTACACATCCTTTTTGGTCACGTTGTTAAGGTTTTGGTAATCGACGCAGAAGCGTAGCGACCCGTCCTTCTTTTTGACAAGCACGACTCGAGATGACCACGGGCTGTTGGATGGTTCGATAACGCCATCGTCAAGCATCTGGCGAACTTGCGTACGTATCGCTTCACGTTCTTTAGCCGACACGCGGTAGGGGTGCTGGTGTATTGGGCGTGCGTCCTCATACGTGATGATCCTGTGTTGAGTGATGGACGTCTGGCGGATCTTTGAGCAACTTGCGAAGCAAGACCTGTACTCGAACAAGAGTGCTCGCAGCGCAGTCTGGTTATCGGTGGACAGATCAGGATTGATGTCAATGTTGCTCATTGATGTGTCTGCGTTATCCACTATTTCTGACGTGAGACAGTTGGTTACGTTTGCTACTTCGTGGGCAAACGCTATCGAAGTGCCACGGAAAAGGTGTCGATGCTCGTTGCTAAAGTTGGTAACGAGCAATTCAGATCGGCCGTCGCGAACGTGTATTACACTTCTCGCTACACATATGCCTTGCTGCAGGAGGTGTTCTAAATTTGTCTCGGCCACCACATCGCCATCGCTCAAACCACAGCATGTTACGTCGACTAGAACACTGGCTCGGGGAGGAAGCGTCACGCTCTGTTCAGAAATACGGAGTACGTCGACACGCATTCCGTCATCCTGCACGTTGATTGCTCGCTGGGCTGAGAACGTGACGCGGCGCTCTTGCAGATCAATGATAGCTCCATTTTCCTGTAGAAAATCAATTCCCAGAATGACGTCACGGGAGCATTCACGTAGAACAAGGCAGCTTGCTACGAATGTGTACCCTTGAATCTGTACTCTAGTTGTGCAGGCGCCCAGTGGAGTTACGACATGGCCACAAGCTGTCCGAATCTGCGAGTTATGCCACGGCGTGATTAC